GCAGTTAAAAATTTCAAACCAAGCAACCCAGCACCCAAACCTCACTAATTTTTTCACCTGGTAATGTGGCCCGCGAGCAACCAACCAATCCTCAAACGAGCATACGGAAGCGTGCTTGTCATCACAAATCACCCTCGCCTACCACCCCCGCCCCCCGTCCACCTCACCACTACAGAACTTGTTCTGCTTGTCAATTATAACACCAAAGGCACCTCATCACTCTGCCGCAGTGCCAAAGATTTGATACGACTGGATATTTTGTACTATGCATTTGCAAACAGAACAAGCAAGAAGAAAAAAACACAAGTAGAACAAGTGAGAAGAAAAAGAACACAAGCGATAAGACTAATAAGCAATCAGACATCATGAAATAGAAAAAGAGCAGTCGATCGATAAGTAAAGAGTAGGAGTCAATTGATAAAGAGCAGTCAATCATCGATAGAGAGCAGTCAATTGATAAGTGAAGAGTAGGAGTTGATCAATAATCCATGAATGGAATGCCGAAGTCTTTTTGAGGAGGACAAGGGGAGAGGTTAGAGGGATGAGGAGGGATGAGATGATTGGGGGAGAGTTGGGTGATATGAGTTTTTATGAAAAATAATTAGTATGAGCAAGTGGCAGGAGATTGACGAGCAGGGGATAGTGAGGAGCGACAAAATTTTAGTCATAAAACTTTATGCCTCGAGCAGTGAGGTTTTTGTGACATGTCTTAAAACTGCCCTACGTGAACCGGGCCAATATACATGTCCCTGACAGGGGTTTAACCAATTTTCATTTCCCCTATGTCACCCAGAAAAATGAAACTTTCTACCAAGAAGTTTGAGGGCCAGATACCTCTATGCAGCAAAAATGCAGTCACACTGCCACCAATTAGCTTAAGTTTCAAGGATTTCTCCTGTCATACAGCCTTAATGTAAAAAATATTCCCTGAGTTTCAGATTGAATACACATGCCAGGGAGGTTGGTCACAAACAACAGCTTGGACATTGCCACTATGCCACATTGAAAAACATACCACACTGTAAAGAAAGTTAAGTTTGAGATAATGGTCTACTGGGAAACAGCTTTCACACTGTCACCATGTGGAATTTCAAAAGGTTGTTGAAATCTGAGTACCGCGGGACTCGGACTTATCCCTCTAACCTCACAGACCGCTAATCCCAATGACCTCATCTCTGTGTTCAGTCCTTCTCGACCTCACCAAGAACTCAAACAACCAAAGCTCATCAACTCTTTTTTTTCCCATATAACCTTGACTATCTAACCTTGGATTTCTTTCTCCCAGGCTAGGAACTTCTGGGTTATTCTTACAACCCAAACATATCAAAATTCTTATTGTCATCCACTTTATCTGATAAATCACTGTTCCTCCATTTGGTGAAACCTATAAGGCTCCATTTGGCAGTCCCAAATATCATAAATGAATATATTCAAATCCACATAATCAAATTAAGGTTGATAAACCACCAACTCATTATTACACAGCTAGAAGATTGGTGGATTTATTATGGTGGCTGTTTGAGACAGCCACAATAATTGCAATTAACAATGGGCTCACTGCCTCAGCTAACTTTGGACCGGCCTTCCCGAGAAGTTCTCGTCCGACAATTTGTTGAGCTGGCTTGTCCAAGCTGTTGACGGGTGGAACAATCTGCTCAAACAGGCAAGTCCAACCTCTCGTCGGACAACCATGTCTGAGAACTGCTTGGACAGGCCAGTCTGAGGATTTGTTAGGCTGGCCAGTCCAACCAGATAGGTTACGCAGTGGCTGTCTGTCACTCTTGTTGATGAGGATGAGGGGAGCGGTGTAGTGTGCCAAATGTGTTTCAAGTACCAAATTGCATAAAGTCATGATCCACTCTTGATAATAGGCTAGATTCTTGGTGTTATTATTACTTCAATAGATTCTACAGGTCATTTAACCCATAGTCACTCACTAGAACCACTAGGCTAGCTCCACTCAGTCAAAAGTTATTTGGATAAATCAGTTTTTTTATTACAGCATAGTATAGTTGTCCTGGGTAGTACATAGTATATACTTATATATAAGTGCATAGTTTCAATCTTTGTTTGTACAGGCATATGTATGATCACATGTTTAG